CTCTGCATATTTATAAATTTTTTATCATCTTCTACAAGTTCTGCAGATGCACAAACACTTCATAAATAAAATAGTATAAAGTGGAGAGACTCTGACTTGTGTATTCACTGGTAAAACACAGAAACCAAAGAATTATAGGGTTTGTACTTTGCCAAGGTGAGCTAAGTATTTCTTGCTAGTACACAATGATTTCAGAAAGATAAAATCAATTTGGGGTCACGGATATTCTTTTTGGGTTGGTGCCATGCTGGCCTTTCCTCATTTGCATTTTTGGTCTGGATTAATAAAAGCCTGGCTGGATTCATGTCCTTGCCTGCACTAACAGCACTGCAGGGCTCCCTTCCCTCCCCAAGGGCTCCCCAGCAAAAGCCTCTTTTAAAAACCCTCCTGAGAGCAAATGACAAAATATTCATATTTGATGGGGTACAAATGGATCTGATCATCCAAAGGCAGGAGTTTTAACACCAAGGGCAACAAGAGGGGACCTACAACTTACAGATTTGTAGTATTCTGACATACAGATTTAGTATTATTACTGCTGTTACCTAATTTTAAATGCTTTTTATTACATAATTCAGTATTTCTTTCTATATATTTCAGTTATGTATCTCCAGAGACATTGATATTATTATTTGTTAGTAATCCATTGGCCATCCTTAATTCTAAATGTCCCCTTAGAATTTATAACAAATTCATACAAGGATTCTTGGAAATAAACAGAGAGACTATATTCACTGTAAGATGCTTTAAGGTCCTTGAAAGTTCAACACAAAATAAATTGCATAATTAACTATAAATTGAATTAAGGAGTCGCAGAATGAGAGGAAAAAGAACACTGAGATATAATTTGCCATTCTACCTCCTTAAAATTTAACTCAATTGGCATTAGGAAGATTGAAACCACAGTCAGACACGGGAGATATAACTGGATTTTCAATAACAATCTTGGACCCTATTTCTTAGGGCATATGTAGAGATTAAAATATATATATATATACATCAGGTAATGACAGCATAACTCTCCATTCTCCTCAAACCTCTGCAAGAGGTGAATAAACAAGAAATTAATTCTGGCCCCAGAGCCTGAGAGTACCTTTTGTTCCACAGAAAAAGACAGTTGTCAACTTTCAAAAGCAGAAAAAGAGCCTCTGAGAATTTGAGCAGGACATAAAATTCCTACAGAATCCTTTTTTGACATAGAAACTATGGGAACAGAATGAAGAGCCCCTTCATTCCAGGTCTCATTTCTTTCCATAGCATGTAAAAGAACATGACTTCTGCCTTTGGGCTTTCATGCTGCTGTAAAATATTTGTTACTGATATGCTTCATCTGTATTAATAATTTTAAATTATTTTTCCTCTTGACAGATTTTATGCCTAAAGAAGTAAAACACTTGATTTAAAACTCTAGAAAATATTGTTCAAATAAACTTACCTGTCCTATAAATGCTAGCTGAAAAAATGTTAGGCGGTAATTTTATGTATTTTTAATTCCACTATTTTCATTAAAATAGCTTTCAGCACAGAGGAATTTCATTTGTTAGCAATTATACAATATGTTCAAAGTCAAAAAATCTTTAGGATCTGGCAAATATCTGTCTGGTTGGTTTTTTCAGAAAATCTGAAATCTCTTCTTTCAAAGGATTCAGTTTATTACATTTCAGAACTCAGGGAGCTGTGAAAGCACGAGGTGCTTCCTATCAAATCCCAGACCCTCTTTTCTTGACCTCTTTTGTTTCCAGCAGCAAGCACAGATTTACTCAGCCTGGTCCATCACACAGTGGGAACTCCCAGCAAGGAATTCCCTCAGCCTGGGTGCGATGAGCTGTCCTGGCACTGGGAATGCCCAGCTCTGCTGGCACTGCTGGGCAAGCCCTGGCCAAGTGACAAGAAGGCAGAAAGATCTGAATCCATTTGGTGATGGGACTCCTGCAGCAGCCAGCACTGAGGAAAATCACTGCTACTTGATTTTCCATACAAAAAACACTTATTAATCAATTTTGCTCATCCTGAGGCATTTTATCCACGACTAATTGTATAATCCAAATGACTGTGATTTCATTGCCACCTTTTCCATAAAGAAAAAGAAGGAAGTGAAAACAGTATCCTCCAAAGCCTTGTTATGAATACACAAAAATTCTCAGTCGAAAGGAGACCTCGTTATAGCAATAGAATTTATTTTGCCTTACAAAAATTGGCTGTCACCAAGAGCCACCACACTGCAGCATCCCTTCAGCTCCAAGAAGCCTGAATGAAGCCACAGGAGATGGAAGTCTGTCACTTCAGCACCGATGGCAGCTTCATAATGAAGTCCCAAGGTTGGGGCAAATGTAAAATCATCCAAGAATAGAACTATCTGTCTTCAGCAAGGGTTCCTTGCTCATTTTCCCTTGTCAGTAAACTGGAAAACACCCACTGTCTACAGCAACTCTGTCCAGTTCTATCCATCAGGAACACCATTCCAAACTTTACCTAATGTACTTTATTTCCACAGGGCACACTCCTCATTCCTACAGATTAGGAAAGAAGTTTCTTGAGAAGGGGCAGAATTCAGACGGGACACCCAGGCCACGAACCACAGAGACAGATATTACCTTGGTCTCCCTTGCTCTGTGATGTTCTAAGTCAAGGTAAACTAAAAGAAATAGATATGAGCAGCAATAATCCTGGATAGTGGCCATCTTTGTTCCAGCTGTCCCAAATGCAGCCCATAAGCAAACTCCAATGTATAAATCATTTATTTGGGGAGAATTTTCTTTAATACAAATTTATTTTATCGAAACAGAAAAGCAGATGCCACAAGAAGAAACCAACAATTATGTAAACTGTCCACAACATCACCCTGCCAGCAGGAACTGCACTGAGTGTGCAAATAACAGTCTGCCCTGAATCCCACACCACATCCAAGTGCCAGTCAGGTGCCATTGAGGAGAAAAAGGGGAACCCCAAAAGCTGAAAAAACACAGAGGAAAAAGGAGTAAAAAACTACCCCATGTCCATATGAATGTGATGCAGATATGGAAATCAGTGGGGTGAGCAAAGTTTGCAACAGTTGGGTCTATTGCAGAGGAGCACACCGAGTACTGGTGAGTGTCCAAAAGGTTTCTGATAACTGGGGTGATGTTTCTGCAGGCTCTGATGGATCATGTGTCCATTGTGTTTTCTGACCCAGAACAAATGTTCTCTGTCTCAGAAGCAGTTGCAACTCCTCCAACAGAAAAAGGATGAGTCTATCACAGAAAGGGCTCTAAAGCCAGTCTGAGAGAGAGATTTCTGCAGATCTGCCAAACCTGAGCAGTTCCCCTGCATCCAAAGTTAGGTACCAAGGCCTCTACATTTCCCACAGTTTGTTTTCAGTCAAACATAAAACCCCAAGGTTTTATGGCAGAACTAAAGTTAATACCAGTATCATGAGCAAATGTAGGGTGCCAATGGGGAAAGATGTCATCACCAAAATTTGCAGAAGGGCTAAACATTAGAAATTCCTGAAATTTAAAGTGGAGAATATATTTTATTACCCTTGAGTGCAGCATTACACATGCACGTGATTCTTCAGATGCAGAATGAGGCCAAGAGGGCACATATCCAAAATCCAACATACAGGAAATCATCTTATCTGCTGCATATGCAGATTCACACCTTCATATCATAGCCAAACAACAAAGAGCCCTGAAATGAAGCCATGCAGTTTCCATGTATTAAATAAAGAATTGCAATGAAAAGGTCTTTCAAGGAGTTGAATGTTCTGAGGAGGTGAAGAAGTGAATCAGAGGATAACTTCTGCAGCAACATCTTAAGGCCTTTTAGGGTACTCGGGTACTACAGTTTTGTCCAGAGGTGCAGATATCCCTGAGCCATGAGGAAACACACCTGTAACATTCCCTAAACCTTGATTTCAATTGCCTTATACTCATGTAATGCTTCCCTGGACTTAAAAAAAAAAGAAAAAATTTTTTAAAAAGGTGATCAATGACAGCAGGAAGCTTTTTACAGAAAGACCAGAGAGTTCACAAGCTTTACATCCACCCCAAAGTCCAGCACAGCCCTGAATCCATCACTACTAAACCAAAGAGAAATTAACAGCTCAGAGCTGTTCCTACGTGAGGGAACTTGCTCTCTGGACTACAAAACCGCCTAAGGAAGCAAAGAAGTCTGGGTACACACTCCACACTCGTGAAGCTCCACCTCCATGTCCCTCACTCACCAGCAGGATCAGCGCGACCACTCTACGAGATCCTGCAGGTCCAGTGTGTGCCCGACAGACAGAAACTGCCAATGGAACGCGGATCCTAAAAAACCCCAAACTGCTGACAGGCCACACCACTGCATTGTTTACCTCAAAAAGCTAATGACACCCTATTCTTACAGGTAAACACACAATTATGGAAGCTCCTCGGCTTTGGTACCGCCTGCAGCCCTGTTTCCTCCCTCTCTAGCACTAGGACATTTGTCATCCACAGTGGGAAACGTTTCCAAGATCCCTGGTAACAAGCAGATCTCACCATTGTAAAGCGCTCTTAGCTAGACTCTAGACTACATCGTTCTCCTATCCCTATCCAGCCCCACGGAGTCCCTGCCTCTGCACTGCCAGCTAATCCCGTCCATCCCCGCGGGTTTGCTCCAGGCAGTCTCTCCCTTTCAGTCCGAGTGCTGGGCTGGACTCGGCTTTCCAGCGCCGTTATCCGCCTACGGCTCCTTTTCCGGGCGGCGAACCCCCCTCAGCACCCCCGAGCCCCGCAGCACCCCCGAGCCCCGCAGCACCCCCGAGCCCCTCAGCACCCCCGAGCCCCGCAGCACCCCCGAGCCCCGCAGCACCCCCGCTCCCGCTCCCGGGGCCCGCACACGGCGGGATGCGCGGCGGGATCGCCCCGGGCCCCCCCGGCATGTGCGGCCCCGAGCCCCCCCGTGCCCGGCCCTGCCCGCCCGGCGGGGGTCACGGCACGGCCCCCCCGGCCCAGCCCCGCTCCGGCCGCGGCGGGCGCAGGGCACGGGCTGGGAGCGCATGGAGAGAGCGGGCACGGCGGCGGGCTGCGGTAAGGAGGGCATGGACACGGACGGGGGCATGGACAGGGATGGGGTGGGGATGGCATGGACAGGCATGGGGGGAACGGGGATGCACAGGGATGGGGGGATGACGGGATAGACTGGGATGGGGGAGGATGGGGATAAACCGGGATGGGGAAAGGCAGAGAATGAATAGGGATAGGGGAAAGACGGGGATGAATCTGGATGGGGGAGGACGAGAATTAAATGGACTGGAGTGAGAAAAGGGGATGCTCTATAGAAAGCAAGGGAATGAACCTGACTGGGGTAAAGGAAAGGGCTGAACACGGGTAGGGTAAGAAAGGAAGGAACAGGACTGGAGTAAGGCAGGGGCTGAACCCAGCTGGAAAAAGGAAGGGAATGAACCGTGCCAGGGAAAGGCAGTAGCCGAGCTGGGGTAAGGAAGGGGTTGAACCGTGCTGGGGTAAAGCAGGAGCCGAGTCGGGTAAGGCAGGAGGAGCCGCGGGAGCTGCGAGGTCCGGCGGGGCTGGTCTCGCACCCCACAGGACCCTGCCCGGCCGCAGAAAGTTTGTTAGTCGGGAACCTCTCCCGAAAAGGGAGAAGCCCCTTCCCCGGTCGTGCCCCAGAGCCGGGGATGGCGGAGCCGCCGGAGGGGCAGGAGCCGGGACACCCCCGTGGCACAGGGACAGGGGACAGGGCTCAGCCCGGGTGCCACAGCCCAGCCCCCGGACAAGGGCTGGGTCACACCCGAGTCACTGCCAGAACTCAGCTTTGCAATGCATCTGCAAAGCAAACGAGCCCATCTTCTAAGAAATCTAAAGATTTCTGTTATTTAGGACACGTTTTACTCATGTGCATTTTGTTGCCTGTAAGTATAAATCTTTCAAGTGCAAGTTATAAATATTAAAGCTGGAATGCATAGGGGGAGTGTTGGTATCAAATTTTAGAATAAATTTATTCCAGCCCAGTTTGACACACACAAACCTGATGCATTTAAGCTGCACTTAAAGAACTTAGGGGAATTATTTGGTAGGTGCCTGTTTCAGGGACTTAAAAACAATAATCAACATATTTATATAACACAGTGTTGTTTATATGTGGAGTTTTGAATCTAAGAGGTATTCACACCGTTTCATGAACTGGAGTGACTCCTGGAGTATGAAGCAATGACTGATTTGGTGTTTCCCCTCTGTTTGAGCTACATCTCAGTGTACACTCAGAATCTGAAACGTGCAATCCTGCCCAGAGAGAGCAGGGAAACATTAACACAGCATGTCTTCAGCTGACATCTGGTTGCAAAAAAACCCCAAACTGCTATGAAGGACTTTTCTCTTATTTTTTCCTTCCCTAGTTCTTTTCTTCCACCTTCCTCTCATCTCTGGAAGCTCCACTGGTATTGGAATAGGCAGTAATTATTCCAATCTTCGTAAGTAATCTCCTTTTCTTATGTTTTTTTATGCTGCTCTAATGGCATGCCTTGCAGTCATGTACAGCTGTAGGAATATAATTTTTAAAAGTCCTCTACCAGATACACATCAACCCATTAAAAAGGAAATAGCTTCCTGACTAAGGAAACAACTGAGTTAACAAAAATGTGCTTAACCTTGTAATATTTATAAAGACAAAATTCACAGAGATTACAGAATTGTCTGAAATTGAGGACCATAAATTTTGTGTCAGGTACAAGTACTTAAATATTTCATTTTTAAAAAAATTAAAATGCTCTTTTTCAGCGTTTTCTCCCATAACAACAGATTAGCACATAGCTGCTAAAACTGATTTACAAATGGAGCACACTGACATCAATCAAAATTTATATCATTTTGGCACCCACTAGTGAAAAAAATGTGGCTAAAAATTACTTCCAGTCACTGAAATAAAACAATTCCTGACATTTGACTTGCTGCTACTCTCCTTTTTATGACTGCCTTTTGTAGTTATTACATGAAGGCTTTTTTAAAAGGAAATACAGCATTGAAGGAGCCAATTATCCTTGTGTCACTGGTCCGATTTTGGCAGAAAACCACGTGAATGCAGGGAAACAGAGTAGCATGTTCAGTGTCTTAGATGGAAGAAATAATGACAAAAATAGACACACACCAATTAAAATCCTCAAGATCCCTCTTGGAGCAAGTGCTGCAGCTCAAGAACAGCCATGTTGTAACTAGACTATGACTTTGTAACCATGTTCAATCAAAGATGCCCAAAATGGATGAGAAAACATAGGATTATGTGTAAGGTTTAAAGAAAGAGTAGACAAGAGGTTCCCTTATTTACTTTGGAGTGTGCATAAAAGAACAACAAAGTGAGAGAGCTACTATCATTCGCATACTAGAAATAATAATATTTTAAATACTTGCTGTCACAACCTACCAACTTGGAGAAATTAGTCAGAGTCAAGACCAGCTTCTATCAACACCAGGTATTTGTAAGATCTACCCCTAAGAAAACTTTGGTAACTGGGAGCAGAGTTTGGTTGCTAAAAGTGAAGACAGTGCAAAACCAAGTCAGTGCCAAGTGTTGTCTCTCAGACTGCCTGGTTACCCTTAAACTCCTCAAAAATCCTGTTAAAATTGGGCTGAAGAGTGAGTGCACAATTAGCAGCTGCTGATTAAAATTGTTCAGCCTCTGGCTACCTACTAGATGACAAACTGGCACCACCTAAGTCATGGAAAACACATAATAGCAGTACAAAAATAACTGCAAAGTGTAAATGCTACATGTGGCAACCTCCTCATTTGTTAGTGATCTGCCTGAAGACTTGGTGAGAAAATACTCATAGTGTGCTTATGTTGTTACAGGTCAATACTCCAAAAATGATGTTGAGAGTAATGTTGGGTTTACATGATGCATACAATGACATTTCATAGCACTTCATTATACGTGTAGCCAGTCTATGTTTAGTTTGGAATTCATACATGAAAACCATTATTTCCTACCCCTTCTCTGATTTCTTGCTCCTTGACCCTTAACTGTGATTTTTCCCTGCCACTCTCCTTCCCACTCCTTCATGGTAGGACAGCTTTTACTGCATTGGCTTCAGGTTATGGAGCTCTGAAACAGAAACGTTACAGCAAACATTTCCAAATGGGTACTTATATCTCTTAAAATTATCTTTTTAGGCTATGTGGTTTTTTTACTTTAGCCTTACTGATACAGTTCATCAGGCCTGACATTCTGGGCCTCTCCACCAGGGCTCTTCTCTCTAATTACTGTAGGGCCCAGACTGTGAAATGTTCTACTGACAAAGAAGATAATACTAACAAAATGCCAGGTAGGCATTAGCCAGGAAAATAACCAAACCAGACTGTGGCCATGGTTCAATTTTATAGTGACCATGGAAAGAGAGTGGAGCTGTCCCAGGCTTTTGGGAGGTACGACAGGAAGGAAGTTTCTCAGTGGACTCCTCAGCTATAGAGAATTCAGGTAAGCCAGGGATTGAACCTGCTTACTCCCCCAACACTGAATTTCCTGAGCAAGAGCAAAGGCTCAGAAGCAGAACTGCAGCTCTTCCTACAATGAGAAGGCCGTGCCTGGAGAATCCTGCTCTTGTCCAGGACAAAGGGGTGAAGTCACAGGAGCAAAGTCCAGGCAGGAATGGACCTCTGTGACTTCAGTCACTGGCAGGCTCAGCATTTAACACAACTTTCTGATCAGAAATAAACTTTGCTGTTGGCTTTGTTTCTTTAGATGTTTGTTTCTGAGAGAAACACAGGATTTTCTTTACAAAGTGTTTCTAGGTTTTGATCAGCTATGTTTGGTTGGTTAAGTCAAATTTATCTCTAGAAAGTACTGACAGTGAGTATAAATCATTATTAATCAGCAGTCATGAACCTCAGTCACTGTTTCAAATACTTGAATGAAGAGGGCCTAAAATTGTCAGATAAATAAAAAGGCAGAAAAATGTTTCTACCCAAACTGCCTTCCTTTCCTTCATATTGGTACCTCCTCCACCTCCTTCCTAGCCCTTCTGGGATTTGTCTCTGAAAGAATTTACAGAGGTAAAAGCAAAAACAGTTATCCAGGTTGCCAATACATATCAGGTATTATAGAAAGATAGTTATTATCCAAACTGTATAGCTATGTATTCAAATATTAAATCTTTATGATAAACCCATTTAACTATATTCACTCTTATATCCAAGAGCACAAGGAATGTCCAGAGATATGTAAAAGGTTCATTTGCATGCCTGAATGAAAAACACCAAAACTAGGAAATATACAGACAGTGCTTTCAAATCCAGCATTAAGATTCCCGTCTTAGAACCTCTGGAGATCCTACAAAATTATTCCAGTGACCAGAGTTCTTTCACAAAATGAGGAAGGAACAGAATCATTCCTACTGTGGCTCTGCTCTGTGCATGAAATCCCACCTGGGATTTCCTACCACAGGGACAGACACCTCCTAAAGGGAAAGGTGAAGGAATGACTATCCTGGAACCAGCAGGCCCTGGAGTGTCCCCTTTGAATGCTGTCCCTGGGGATTTGGGAGAGCTCAGGGAGCAGCAGTGCCAGCCCAGCTGACTGCCAGCTGTGTGTCAGTGGGAGCTGCACTCTGAGACCCCGGGGCAACACTGGAAGGTTGAATAAACTTCTACTCATAAACAAGGAAATCTCTCTGTACACAGCAAGAATAAAACACTCTTTCCATTGTTAGGGAGCCTGTAGGCAAATCCTGTCTTTTTAGCAGAATGATGTCCCAGCTCAGCCAGTCTAATGCAGTTCTCCAGGACAGGAACACAAGCTCCCACTGACCCCCAGCACAACTCCCCAGAACACACCTCACCTTCACCTGCACAGGGGAGAAACTGTGTGGTTTGGGGTCTGTGTAAGTACCTCACAGCAGTTCTCTTGGCTGTCCCAGGTTTGGGACATGCAGAAAGACAAGGTTTCCAGCTTGGGTGTGGCAGCTTTGCTGGGAGCTGGTCTCTGGAGTGAGGACATGATGCCAGGAAGTTTGAGACAGAGGAAATGGCTCTGCACCAAGACTTCTGCACAGCACAGCATCCCCTTGAAAAGTGTCAGTGATCAAAGCACCAGCATCAGCCACCCATCCTCAGTCTCTCTCTTCTCCAACACTGGCAGAAACCATGTGGGTCTGTGACAGCAGGCAGTGAGGGAAACACGCTGTAGTTGCCCCCTCTTTTCTTCAGAGCACAGCAAAGTTTGATCCCCAGAATAATCCGCTCTTTATCTTCATTCACTCTATTTTTTTCTCAGTGTGGATGTTTCCTGACAGTGCTGAAGAGGTTCCCACCTCCCTTTCCTTAAGGGCACACCCCGTGTATCCCTGCAGTTTTCCACATGCACTTCATGTTTTAATGACTGCAGCTGTGCAGAAGGGAAGGATGTTCTCAGGTCTCGAGAACCTCACCTCAGTTCTTTGTTCTTCTCCTCTAATAAGTAATATCCTGCTCAGTATCTTTCTGCCATCAATTTATTTTATGGTGGCTTGAAATCATCTGTTATACCAAGAATAAATTTATCACCTTTTAATTTATTAGGCTGGAATCTGCCTAATAAATGGATTCACTTCCCTTCAAGCCTGACAGTTTCTCATCCTCTTGTTCATACAGGATGTCTCTTGAAAACTCCAAATTGTTCATTTCCACTGTAACTACTGACTTCATGTTTTGTTTGAAGCAGCTTCTCCCAACTCCCACCTCCCAGTTCTGGTTTTTATTTAGTGGAGAGAATAACATATTAGAATTCATTCCTCTGGACCTTCATGGCAAACATACAGAGTCTAGTCCCAGCCTACCCCTATCAAATGAAGAGAAATGATGCTTTAGTTTTTGGATGGGATCCCATCAAGCTGGTACAAACAGCCATACTGAGAAGGGTAGGGGGAGAAATGCTTTAGAGGTGATGATTGCATTGCAACTGTTTGTTCAAGCACTTGAAAGTGCAGTGGATGCACAGATGCCTTTATGCAGAGCATCCTTCAAGGAGAGGTGGACACCTCTGGGAAGCTTACACAGAGTCTCTGTCCTCAGGTGCTTTGAAAACTTGGCCTCCAACTCCGAGCTGGCAGAAGAAAGCAATTGAGCTGGCTTTGACAGCATTTCTGCAAACAGAAATTTTTAGCTCCAAGACTTAATACATATCTTCCTAGGACTTCCTGAAACACCTCAGACTTTTTTAAAAATTACCTCATATGACATTGTGACCCCTACAGTCTTCAAGGACCTGTGTGAAGATAATTTGCTGAAGGACATTCCAGCCAAAGCCCCATGATTGCTCTCTACTCTTAATGTAAATAGTGGTTTTATGATTTTTTTTTCTGTGGGCTCTTTAGTTCTAAGTTCCTTATCTTTTAGTTGCTGGGTTTAGCTGCAAATATGTTAATTCCTTCATTCCTCTCCCTAAAATGAGGATTTGTCTTTCAGCAATTGTTTTTTTCTTTATTAGCAAATAATCTTTCTT